GGCAACTTGGCTTGATACAAACTTTAAGTTTTATGAAGCGCTTTTATCTTGTCATTATCTTCCATATCCACACACAGGTGAAGTTATTAGAGACGAATTAATTAAACTTATTCAAGACTGGGGTTTAGAAAACAAAATATTCACTATTGTTACAGATAACGGCTCTAATATGGTTAAGGCTTGTTATTTGTTAGAAAAAGAATTTAGTTCAGTTAAACGTTTGTCTTGTGCTGCGCATATACTTCAGCTTTCAGTTCAATCTGGAATTAAGCAAATAACAACAATTCATAAACGGCTTAAAAATATACAAACTTTTTTTCGTAGTCCCAAACAAGCTCAACGACTTTGTGAAGCACAAGAAAATATTATGCATGATTAAGATGATTTTATAGAAAACAATAATGAACATTTGAATCCATTAGAGGTTTTAACTGATTGTAAGACACGTTGGAACAGTTCATATCTTGCATGGAAAAGAATTTTAGATTTAGATGATGCAATTAGAAGTGTTGCCGCTACTCTTTGTTCATCACAAAATTCACAAATTCGTAAAGAAGGTGACTATCTTAATAAATTACGTCTTAATTCAGAAGAATTCAAGTAAGTTTTTAATTATTTTATTTTAAGTGGTAGATCGCAATTGAAGGGTTAAATTCCGTAGTAAAAATCAACGGAAAATTACTATTACTTTCATATAATGTTCGAATGCTGAAAGTTTCTGGCATTATATAAAAATCATATAGTTATAAAGGAGAAATGCCAATAGCTCGTGATTTACCAAACCAATTTGAATAACTCTAACATTATTAGAACTAGAATAACTTGTTCTATAACTTTGTTAGAAACTCAAGGTTTACTTGGCATAAAAAACTTTTCATTGTAAGCTAGCTACATTTCAACCCTATAGAAAAACTATATTAACTTCTGGCTATTTTTTATACCCTTTAACTGCGATTTACCTTTTAATTAATTTTAATTAATTTTTTAATTTATTTTAATTTAGTTTATTTTTTTATTATTTTTTAGTTTCGTTAAAAGCATAATAAAACTTTTGGCACCATTTGAAGAAATAACTCGAAAAGCTTCTGGTGCAAAATATCCTATGATTAATTTAATATATCCTTATATGTACTTATTAAAGCGAAGGTTTGCTCCAACCGGTGGTAATACAATAGATAGCTATATGGACTTAATATACGGTCCAATTTCATCTGAAGATACTGATGAAACTAATGATATTGACAGCAACACAGATAGTAGTGCTGAGGATTCAGCATCTACTTCTGGTACTTATCAACGTTCAAAAAAAACCTATAGTAAAATTCGTAAAAATAATAATAAAGCTAAGCATAATAGTTGTAAGCGTAAGCGTGAATATAGACGTGGGCGTGGACGTGGACGTGGACGTAAACAGGAACCTAGACGGGAATATGATCATAATTATAGTTACGATAGTCAACAGGAAAGTGAATATAATCAAGATTTTACCGGTTTGGTAGAAAAATTTCAAGCTGCAATTTACCTTTCTCTTGATGAATTATGGAATGTTCCAGATGAAATAGCACTTTTAGCTACAATTTTGGATCCTCGTCTTAAAGGTCTTCGATTTGTTAATCAAAATGAACGTATTAATATTCAAGAAAAACTTCGAGTTAAATATGAAGAACTAAGTTATAACTTACGTGTATCTCCATTAACACAA